TGTGGGGCTGCCTCTGCCTGCTCAGGACATCCCCACGTAGGCTGCGAGCAGCTGCAGCAGGGAGCGCTGGCCACAGGGTGGGGAAGGGGCCTCTTTTCCCCCGCACTCAGCACCATCTTGTCCCCTGCCTTTCCCCCTACCTGTCTTTCTTACCTGAGTTTCCTGTGCTGGTACAGCCACATGGTCCCAGGGGTGGGGTCGGATGGGTTCTGCTGTTGCAGGAGCACACTGGGGCTTCCCCTGGGTCCCACTGCCCCTGGCTCCTGTCATTTTTGACAGGAACCAAGGACAGATAAATATTAATTTTTGAAATATTTTAGGGGCCCCACAGGCTGGATAGAATGGCCTCGCAAGCCAGATCTGGCCCACGGGCTGTATTTTGCCCACACCTTGGCTAGCACCTGTGCTGGCTCCAGCAGTGTAAAAAGCTGCCCTGGCATGCATCTCTGAAGTATTTCCCCTCAGGAGTTTCTGATGCCCAGCCAGATGGTATCTGGGGACACTGCCCCTTGTGCCAGCTGGACTGCTGAATCAGCCCTGACCTAGAGTGGCCCCTGCACCCTCTACCCACTGCAGCAGTCTGGCAGTAGGGGCTGCTGCTTGGCTGTGACCTGATGTCATCTGCAATAGCATTCGTCCCCTTGGACCTGTGGCCTAATGGCTACACACCTGCCAGACCCAGGTGGGGACTGCACAGCCAGCTGGGCTGTGGTATGTACACTACAGCATAGTCTCCTGAACCACTGAGCCAGCTGCCAGTGGGCCATGGCTGCACAGTTGGCCTTCATGCAACACTGCTGTCATGTCTTTGGGTGTCCCCTGCTCTGCCATTTGGGCAGCTATTGCTCAAAAGATGTGCTTGTTGTGGTGGCCTGCTTTGAACTATCAAAGCATGGTCTCCTGACCCCAAATGGCCAGGAGGCCAGCCACCTCATCTGTCCTCCAGCTGGGTCCCCAGGCAGGCTCCTCTGCCCGGGTCCAGGCACTTGACTCACCAGCAGGGATCCTGGTGTTCCCTATTTTACAATTTCAAATTGTCTGATTAAGACCCCCAAATTATCTCATTAAAGTACCCCAAATCCGCATTCTTCCATGATTAAAATGAAACACCACTATACAGAGAGAGATCAGTCGAGCAATGTTTTATTGATATATTTACCATTTTAAAACAATCTGAGAGGCTACAAGTGCCTCTATCGTCATAATAAAATGAATTCTAAATAAGTATACATTCTGGAATTTGTTTTTGGTTTTTTTATCATAGAAAAATCAGAGCTGCCCCTGTCCCCTTTGCTCACCAGGATGTGAGGCACTTAGCAGCACTGATATGCCAGTTCCTTGCCCCTCACTCCCAGCACACAGCCCCAACAGTGCCCCTCACTCCTGACCTGCAGCCCCTGTCTAGCCCCCACTAGCTCCCTCCTGTCCACATCTCTGTCCCAGCACCAGGACATGAGTCCAGCTGCAGCTGTCCCACCCACTGTTTTGTGGCTCTGAACAGTGCCAGCCCTTGCTGTTCTGCTCACTGCACCTGTGCCTAGGCCCCAGCAATCCTCATGCCCTTTCTGGGAAGCCCTCAACTAGAAATCGGGGACTGGGCTAAGCAAGCCCCTTCCCTTCCCAGCCAGCTTCCCCCTGCACAAGCTGCTCTAGTAGGACAGGGGGCTCTAAGCCCAGCTTTGGTGGCCTCTCCTGCCCAGAGTGCTCCACTATCTCTGACCCTCATTTCTCTCTCTCTCTCTCTCTCTCTCTCTTTCTGTCTCTCACACACACAACCCTGCAGCCACCTCCAACCCTCCCCCCAGCCCATCACACTCCCCAGTTGGTTCCTGGGGCCAGGAGCCCCCCAAGGCTGGAGCTGCATGTCCCAGCAGTGGTGTGAGCATGGGGCAGGGCTGCAGTGTGGCAGTTGCCTCCACAGCTACAGCTCCTGCCAGCAGTTCCTGTCCCATCTGGAAGCTGGGCATGCAAGGTGTGAGATTTGTAAAGTTTGGGGGGAGGGGTATGTGGGGTTTGTGGAGGAGTGTGGGGGGTGGGTTTGTGGGAGGCCTGGGGGTTTTATGAGTGGGTGTAGGGGCAGGTGTAGGGTTTGTGGGGGTGGCATTTGTGGAGGGTGGGGGGCTTGTGTAGGGGTTGGGGGTGGGCTTTGGGGTGGATTGTGAGGGATTTGTAGGTGTGGAGGGACTGTGTGCAGGTGAATGGACTGTGTGTGTAGGAGGGACTGTGTTGGAAGACTGGGTACTTTGCCCACCCCACCACCCGAACAGTGCACAGCCCCCTCCCCCTGCAGCAGCAGCAGCCAGCAGACAGCAGCCGGCCATTGGTGTGCTCATGGCTTGTTGCTGGCAGAGCCCCCCGGCAGTGCATGGTGCCACCTGAAACCCAGGGGTTCCACATGGTACATGGAGATGACCCAGCCCACTGTTATGAACCTTCAGGCATGAGTGGGCTAGCGCTTGCTGCCACCTGAGCCCCTGATACTGCAGCCAGGATCTATATACCATTGGAAGAAAGGGTGGACAAAGGGAATAGATCACTTCAGAGCCCTTAAGTATATAGCAGGAAACATCCAATAGTCAACACAAACACGAAGGGATTCCCTTGTAAACCTCATTTCCTGGCTTCTTGGGTTTGATGTTTGTCTTATTTTGGATTGGCTTGATGGTACCATTCTTGGGATGTAATATTTATATCATGTGTCTGCAACTTTAACTGAATTTTAAGGAGTTTGTGAGAGAAGGAGTAAATTTTGGTTGTCATGAAGGAATAGAAAATAGATATTAAGAACAGGCCAGAGAAACCCCAAGCCATAATAAATAAAGCACTCCAGAATGAGAAATCTGCCACAAACACCGTGTGTTTTGCACTGAAAGAAACAAACTAAAAAGTTGTTTTAAGACCAGTAGTTTCTTCCCCAAGCTTTCTTCTTGTTCAAGGACAGTCAATACAAATACAAGAGTTATATGAAAAAAAAAGAGAGACAGTTACTAGGAGCTAAGAAACAAGTCACAACACTAGACAATCAGAAAACATCATTCTAGCCTTCTCTTTCACTACTGTGTATAAAACAGCTCTGCCAAGGTCTATAAATTAGCCACGTTTCAGAGAAAATTCATGAAACAACATTCATGGATAAATCAAATCCTTTCTGACTGATCAACAGTATTTTGAGGGTTTTCATCATCATAGTAGTGTAAAGAGGGTAAAGAAATATGGATAAGGAAACAGTAGGGCATGACAAGAGAAATGCAGAAAAGCATTAATTCCTGTCAATAAAAGATGGCATGTATTTTAACAATTATGAGGCATGCTGTCATTGATAAGAGGGACGGGGTAATAGCTAACTGCCAGGTGGTGGTTAGCAAACTGTTCTGTGAAATTAACAGGATTCACTTTTTTACCTTTTCTTCATGAAAAGGACCAGAATTTAGCATTTTTTATTTCCTGGCTGAGTGCCCATACCACTCTGCTACTAGGGATAATACATGACAGAGGTGACCTTCTCCTCTGTAATAGGGCTGTGTGAAATTTCGCCGCCAGTTTTGTCTTGACATTGTTTCGACCTGTTTAGAGGTTGAAACACCAAAATTGAAATGAAACAGATATGGTTGAAACAGCCTCAGAACAAAATGAGGCAAGTTGAAATGTTTTGCTGTTTTGACACTGTTTCCACATTTTGCCCAGAGGCTATAATGGGGAAGGTCAAAACAGACTATAACTTTGTCATTTATGGCCATATTTAGATAAAGCTTGCAGAAATGGTAGCCTCTTCTGGGGCCATAAATTGTGCCATGTTTCAAGAAGGTGGTTCGGAGAAACTGCATCCCAAGATCTTGAGAGCAAAACTCATGTCACATGCATGTGTTAAGCCACAGTGGGGTCAAAACTTTAGGGATGCTATCCCCTGCTGAGACCACAAAGCCTGCCATGTTTCAAGGAGATAGGTGCAGGGGGTTTAGGAGAAACTGCACCCCAAAATCCTGAAAGCAAAACTTGTGTCACGTGTATATTTTAAGACACAGGGGTCAAAACTGCAGGCTTGCTAGCCCCTGCTGAGGCCCTGAAGCCTGCCAAGTTTCAAGGAGATAAGTGCAGGGCTTTGGGGGAACTGCAACTCAAGCTGCAGACAAGCAAAACTCATGACATGGGTGATTGTGCAACTGTCTGTCTTGGGACATAGGGCAGGGAGGGAGTGACGGGGGATGGGGGGGATTACCGGAGGCCTGGCTGATAAGCTACTGTGTCACCTGTTACCAATTCATCATGATTCACTCAGGGACCAGCTCAATGCACAGTACCTAGCTACTACGTAATGACTTAACCAGCATGTATTAACACCTACAAAACCACAGACAGACTTAGGAGTGGAAATAACCAATACAGACAATCAACTGCTCCAAGACAGACACAGTGAGGTGCACAAGCACCCATGTCACGAGTTTTGTCTGTCAGCAGCAGCAGAACCCCCCTGCACCTAGCTCCTCGACAGCTGGCAGGCTTTGTGGCCTCAGCAGGGGCTAGCAGGCCTGCAGCTTTCACCCCACTGTGCCTTAACACACACAATGTCACCCATGTCATGAGTTTTGCCTGTCAGCAGCAAGAGGTGCAGGGCCCTGGAAGCCAGACTCCCCCTGCACCTATCTCATTGACAGTTGGCAGGCTTCGTGGCCTCAGCAGGGCCCATCACCCTTGCAGTTTTCAGCCCGCTGTGCCTTCACACACACAGGATCATCTGTGTCACAACTTTGGACTGTCAGCAGCTGGAGGTGCAGTTCCCTCCAAACCCCTGCACCTATCTCATTGACAGTTGGCAGGCTTCGTGGCCTCAGCAGGGGCTAGCATGCCTGCAGTTTTCACCCTGCTGTGGTTTAACACATACACACGACATGAGTTTTGTTTTCAAGATTTTGGGGTGCAGTTTCCCCAAATGTCCTGCACCTATCTCCTTGAAACTTAGCAGACTTTATGGCCTCAGCAGGGGCTAGCAAGTCTGAAGTTTTGACCCCACTGTGTTTTAATACGTACACATGACACGTGTTTTGCTTTCAGGATTTTGGGGTGTAGTTTCTCTGAACCCCCTGGACCTATCTCCTTGAAATGCAGCAGGATTTGTGGCCTCTGCAGGGACTAGCACTCCTGCAGTTTTGACCCTGCTTTGACTTAACACATACACGTGACATGAGTTTTGTTTTCAGGAATTTGGGGTGCAGTTTCTCTGAACTCCCTGTATCTGTCTTCTTGAAACCTGGCACTTGTCATGCCCTCCAAAGGGGCTACAACTCCTCCAAGTTTCATAAAAATCTGTCCATAAATGACAAAGTTAAAGCCTGTTTTGTCCTTCCCCATTATATCCTATGGACGAAACATCGAAACAGGGTTGAAACGGCAAAACGTTTCGACGGAACAAAGCGGAACAGCCATTTTGACTCAAAACAAAAGTCAAAATGAAACAGTGTTCTGTTGAAACATTGAAACGCTGGTCAAAACAGAACGCTTCCATTTTGCACAGCCCTACTCTGTAATATAACACCCTATAGTCATGGGTTTGTGGCCACCTACAATTTTAGTGACTACCATTCTCATAACATAGACACAGGTACCCATCCACAATTGGCATATATACATAGAAACATACTGGACTGACTAGTACATAGGCTTCTACATGTGGTCAGTCTATGTGTGCATGGTTACATGTCTACATAGCAGGAGAAATATAATTGCCCACTGCAACTGCAAAAATGTCATCTATGCAGCTATAACATTGTGATTGAGATGCATGAAGGGAAAACAGAATTCCACCCATACTACAGAACACAAGGAATACCAGGAAGAAAGGGAGTTAGATAAGTCAAGCCAAAATTTTGAAAGCTGGCCTAGTGGAATAACAACAAAAGGAATAAGGAATTCGAAGAGTCAGAAGGGATTGCAAAGCATAAATAAATTTTATGACCAGCTCTGAGAATCCGTAGAGACACTGGTTCTGTAACAAACTAGCCAGGGACAGATGACCATCCATGGCCATCAGTGGAATTGGCTGCATATGTGTGTCAGTACAGCAGTCTCCACCTGCACTGTATGTTTTAGGGTCAGAGCATAGAGTCCAACTCAGTAACATGCTCAGTATCCTCCACTCCCATTCACCTCATCATTTACCAGGACTTGGTCCCTATTTTTAGGTGTTCACAGCCCTTTCAATATATTTGATCTGATTCCCTTTACCACCACTGAGATTACAGCAATATATAACACTGGCTGCAGAACAGAATTTTTTTACGTTATTTTTATGGCAAATATTTCTGTAACTTTGCCAGACTGTTACATTCCAGATACGAAAAAAGTTATGTAGTATAGACACATGCATGCTTACATATGTAATTCTTCCAGCATACCATCTGCTATTGATTTGTCATTCATAGATTCATAGATGTTAGGGTCAGAAGGGACCTCAATAGATCATCGAGTCCGACCCCCTGCATAGGCAGGGAAGAGTGCTGGGGCTAGATGACCCCAGCTAGATGGTTATCTACCCTCCTCTTGAAGACCCCCAGGGTAGGGGCGAGCACCACCTCCCTGGGGAGCCCGTTCCAGACCTTGGCCACTCTAACTGTGAAGAAGTTCTTCCTAATGTCTAGTCTAAATCTGCTCTCTGCTAGCTTCTGGCCATTATTTCTTGTAACCCCCGGGGGCACCTTGGTGAATAAAATCTCCTGATCTAAGAAGTAGATCTAATAGATCTCCTGATCTAAGAAAGAATCACAACAGATAAACTGTGTCTGTAGCTATTCAATTCTTTAATAAGTATGGCCCACCACAAAAAGCAACCCTTACCTTTGTTTGTGGGTGTAGGTCCAAGATCTGGAGCTGAAGTCCTGGATGAAAAAAATAATTCCTTTCCTTTGACCATAGAGGGAAAG